GGTTTCTGCTACTGTCATTTTGAGCTGACGTCAATCCGAGTTTCACATGCTTTGAGCCCAACTGGTACATCGTACCTCTGAGAAGCACACGATCCTGAGTGCCTGCTGAAAGTGCGGGAAACTCAATGGAGTGCTTGGTAATTTGCGGATGGGAGCTGGGTCCTTCCCCAAGGATGATAACCGCGAGCTCGTCTGGCGTAGATGGTGGCTGCGCAAGCCAGGGTACGGCCTCCGCAGGTGACAGCAGGGCCACCCCTGTGGTTCTAGTACTGATTTCAGTGAGCACGTCGGCTGGGGAACAATCCGCATACTGAAAAGTGCCCGGCTCCAGCTGAAAGTCAGCCGCACGAGGCGCCACCACATTATCACCCTTCATGGGTTTCTTACTGGCCCTGCGGGACTGGGGTTTACCCTTGCCTTTGCCCTTGTCTTCACCAAAGAGATCAATCGTGTGCTTGGCTGCTAAATCAATGAGGGCCGATTTCTGTTTCCCAAGAGAAGCTTCGTTTTCAAGGGTCACAATTTCAGCTTCCTCACATCTGGAGAGCAGCTCGTCGACCTTCTGCGCAATCCTGTGCACAGGCACGCTTTGTTGCAACAGGATGGTTGCACAACGATTCGGAAGATTCTTTGCCTTGACTCCTCCCCGAATGCCTTGCGTTCTCAGGGAGACAACAAATGTGGCAAGGTGATATGCTTTGGTGTCCCATGCAATTTGGCACCCGTTGACCCAGGGCACCAAGGCGTCGAAATCACCTTGGTCTTGGCAGTGCGCCGCACGGCATGCAGCTTTCAGGTCACAATGCATTTGTACACGAAGCACCCGTGCTTTGCTAGCCCCGGGCCATTTGACCCAGAGTTCCACGGAGCGTGGATCTGATGTAACCGAAGTATGGATAGGGTTGAGGCAAACACTGATGACAGGATGCGAAGGTGGTACCGCCGTCTCCCTGATTAAGCTGTTTGAGATCCAACCATCAAGACCCAACGAGCGAACACTGGCCTCACGGTACACATTGATCATCTGCTGTAGTTCAGCGGCATACTCCAAGGCAAGCGGCGTCACGTTGGGAGGGACACGCTGAATGCAAAAAATCAGACCATCCCACATCCACACGATGAAGCGGGATTCTTCAAAAAGGATGGTAGTGGGTATTACCCTATGCAGACAGGACCTCAATTCCGCAATGCGAGCCGCTCCAACCTGCACAAAGCGTAGTGAGACAAAATGTACCTGACAGTTTTCGCGGATTTCGAAATGCTCTGAGACCCTGCGTGGCCCACTCAGATCTGACAAGAAGACTTCATAATCACGCTTCGGAATTTCAAGCAAATCCTGGATGAAAGCAACCGGCACAGGCTGGTGCAGTACCACTTCATAGGACTGAGTCTCAGTGGTGACTGTGACGGCCCATGTCACGTCGATCGGAATGGTGGGGGAAATGTCATGCCGGGCTGCGTCAACAACCACATGGGACCAACCATCACGTGTCAAGACACGGGCTTTGGTTGCCCTGATCCGCCTGTGCAGATAAGCACTTATATATTGCATCGGGTCTATAGTGGGTGCACACAAGATCCTACGGGCATGTCTGACAACGGCCACTCCTAACACATACAGCGCATGGATGGGCGCAATGAAGTTGCCAACATGCCTAAAGGCCTGATTGACATCGGCTGGCAAAGTGGCTGGCTCTTTCAGGCCATGGGCAATCAAGACCTGATAGGGTGACAGGAAATGCGGCTTGCCGTTGGTATGTTTTGCATCAAGGACCAACACTGCGAAAATGCCCTGTGTCTCGGCGAGATGAGTTCCCAGAAAGTGCTGTTGGCTGTAGGTGGCCATGATGGTACCAAGACGATCGGTTGACCGGATGGCACGGGCAGATATGTTGTTGCAGCGGCGCTTTATCTTCATACTCTCAGGCAAGAACCTGGGGTCGTCATAAATCGCAATTGCAGACTCAGTGAGCTCCAAGCTTTGTCTGTGCTCCTCGTCTATGTCAAGGTGCCACGCGTCAAAGTTGGCGAGAGTCGGTTTACCCAAGGCAGTCCAGCGATAGCTGATCAACTCTTCGTCTTCTCCCCATTGCACTCCGAAAAGAGCTAACCATCTAGGTCTGCCGGCTGGCACATGCTCATCAAGCGATGCAGTGTCTTCCCAAAACCATCGAAAGCCTGCCCACGCGGCGGCATTCCTGATGTGAGTGAAATCCGGATGCTCTGCGATGGTAGAGACATTCTCAACTGCAATCATGGCCGGTCTGCAGAGCTGGGCAGCTTCAAAAACATCCAACCACAATCTACCACTTTCTGTTCGGAAGCCAGACTGACCTCCTGCTCTGGACCAGGGTGGGCACGGGCAGGACACCGTCCAGAAATTGGCATGCGTGCAGCTATGGAGTAGTGCAAGGGTGCCCACAGTCACGTCCTTTCTCCAATAGAGATGCTGACCGGATTCAAAGGGGCCGGATGCTGAGGGGAACTGATCGCTTTGCAGGTGAGTGCCGCCATGATTCCTCATGTGTGTTTCAGCAGCACTTACGCTGTTGTCGATGCAGGCCACGGTGCTGATTGGGACCTGGAGGTCTTTGAGGTGCCTAACGGCATGTGACCAACCACCAATGCCACCTGCAAACACGTCCATGACTCTCAAGGCAGTCGGCTTGCGTGTGCCCGGCTCATGGCACATGAACGCCGTGTCCTGCTGGCAGTGGATCTGGCGCTCCTCATTGAGCACCTCAATTTGCACATTGGTGAGGATGAGCAAACACTGCGGTGAGGTCGCAACTGGAAATGGATCTAGTGTGTCGATCATTGCTATCCCGTCATTCTGAAGAATGCCGGTGGGATTCGGGACTTCGCGATGCGCGGGAAACTCTGAGAGCTGTGCAAGATAAACAAGCCTCACCCCTTGACTTCTGGTCAAGGTCCAGTTCATGACGCAAACATGGGCTGTGCCTCCGATGTCCCAAAGCGGGTCATGGGTCGAAAGGCAACCCCTACCAAAGAGCCACTGTTCAGTTGGGATTTCAGCCTGATCTGGCCGCTGCTTAGGATGTGCACTCCGTGAGCGGAGTCTTTTCATCCTGCCTGAGATTCCCTGGTCCTTCAAGCGGAGCACCTGGTTGCGGAGGGCAGTCACTGGCGTCCCCAAGTCTAGATAGAGGCTGTTAGAAGTGCAATGTACAAACCTCTTCAGCCGGAGGTAACCAAGGATGTCTCTCAACTTGAAATGGCAACACACTGTCATGACCACGGATTTAGTGGCACCAGGCAGCACCACCCAGAGATCTACTGTCAAAGGAAATTGGTTGGATCGGATGCCCGTAGTAGGGCTTTCATGTTCGGGATCACCTGTCGAAATGCACAGCCGGGAGCAAAATGGCAACAGCGGCATGCTCTGCAAAACGGAACAGGCACTCTGATTTAGAGTTGGGTCGTCGTGATTCTCTTCTGCAATCTCACCGCACGCCGGAACAACTGGCGAATGCAGATAGTTTTCCAATCTCTTCCTGCTGCAGAAGCGTGCAAGTTTCCAAGTAACCATGGCAGCGCACGTTGGAAGCGTGCCCTGGTCCTCAGCGTCACACGAGTAGGCAGAAAATGCGTAATGCGTTTGCACACCTGGGCGTCGGGTTTGCGTCACAGGCTGCGCTTCTTGTCCGTCCTTTTGGCGATTTTCCCCTAAAGGGAATGCACCATCAAACGTCAAATTCGTAGCGGAGTCAAGGATATTGAGCCAAGAGATATCTGTGCAACTCTTAGTCCTGTCAATGAGCTCAACGCTACTGTCATGCATGTTGGGTACGCACCTGCGTGAACTGGCATTTGCACACAATGTAAATGATGGCGGTACGCTGGTGCAATAGCCGGTCACAACATGTGCGAGATGCTCTTGCGGCTTTCCAATGGCAAATGGAGTTCCCGAAGCCGTGGCCGTCAGGGATTCACTTGTATGGCAAACGGGAAGTATCACCTGATCTGCATGCGGTGCACTGGGCGCACACGGAAAGCACGTGGCGGCAAACCTGGTGGATTTCGTGTCCTTATTGCGTCGAGCCTTTCCATATGGGGCTGTCTGGCTAAAGGTCATGATACCATGTCGGGAAACCGACAAGGTTTCCGAAAGCAGCGGCACGACACAATCGCCAAGGCCCACCCATCTTGTTCTGGATTTCACACGGTAGCCTGAGATGGCACCTAAGGCACGGTGAATCACGGATTGAACGCTATCAGTGAATTGCACGGGTGCGGTGATGCGGCGCCCCTCGAACTCGACTATCACAGTCTTAGAAAATGCACCATTGTCGAAAAAGCAATGCACGCTCTCGTCAAAGTGCAGCTCCCTAGGTGTGGAAATCAAACCGAAGGAAAAATTCCCGAGTCGGGCCCGTGGCACTGCGCGAAACGCACCGAGGTCTGTCCAAAACCAATCCCGAGGCTTAAGACAAGTCATGGCTCTATTCAAGCAATGCTGAGGCGTCACACGTGTCTGATCAAGATATGAGCAGGGCGGCCCTAAGGCAAATGACCTTTGCGGCATGTCATGGCTCAGTTCGTCCTTCAGAAAGAACATGGCGCCCCCCACCCCATCCAAAGTCAACCAAGCTACCGCGGGAAGGTCTGAGCCAAAAGCTTGCCAATCTGAATCCGTAAACAGGTCAACAGTACAGTCACAAGGAAAGTCCTCGAAACCGGCACTTGGTGGTGTGAGGAGTATCCCGTTATCTACTGCTCCTAGCAAATATTGTGCAAGATGTCGCAATGCTTGCAAAGCCAAATACGTGGGACTGGACATCATCTGAGCAAGGGCTCGAATTGTGAACTGACACTCAACCAAGTCTCCAGACAAATACATGAGTATGCCAATGCATGAACGATACAGAGTAATGTCCTTCGGGCCGAGCGGTTCTGACTTGTCCACTTCCTGCAACATCGGATGAGCAGGGGTTGGTTTTGGCTTCAAGTTGAGGTTCAAACGCAAAAGGCTAAACAACTTGTCGAAGTGCTTCACGTGCGGCGTCATCAAAATGTTGCCTTCAACAGTGAGCAAATGCTTGCGCTTGAGAAAACTGATCTCGTCACCTGCCTCCTGAAGCGTCTCGATGTTGAAATCATACGCTTTGGCAAGTGTAGGCAAAAGTTTGCCATGCAAGAATTCACTTTTGCACAAGATCATCATGTCATCTACATGTAACAAAATAAAGCAACTCCCGCAATCGCTCCTGAGAATTGAGGGGTACGTGGGACATGGCCTAATCTGGAACTCGTCCAAAAGGAAGGCCGTGATATCGCCGTGCCAGAGTTGGCTACCATCACGCTGGCCGGGCAATACCTTTCCCAATGCATACAGTCTTGAACCTCCTGTAGCATCTTCACACGTCACAAGTGTGGGCTGCCTTTGACAAACCGTCAAGAACGCGTCTGCCACATCCAAGGCGGAAAGAACAAAACCTTGCGAGCGAAGCATCAAGAACAGTGTTGGAAACAGTCTGCTAGTGACATTCGAGCTTGCAGGGCTATACAGATCTTGCCGCTCCTCCTGCCATGCAAACTCTCTTGCGACATACCTCAAACGTCGCAAATGCACCTTGCGTCCTTCCACCGTCTTCTCTCGCCACGTTCGCACAAAGCGAGTGCTGAGCGTCTTTGGTGGTTCCTGCGAATTGCTCAACAAATCATCTGGAGGCAAAAGGACTCCAAGACCGATGAGCCTCTCAATTTCAATTCTGTCTGCAAGCGCGTCCAGCTCCTGCAGCCTGGTTGCATCAAGTTGTGGCTCACCATGGCCTGTGTCTGGGAAAATCAGCTGCTCCTTCGCGGCTGTCAAATCTGGATTGCTTGGCCTCTGATTCATCTCGAAGATCATCATCGTAATCCTCAAGATATTCAGATTCATGCTGGTCAAAACAAAACTGAAAGGACTCATCTTCATGGAAATACTCATCACTGCCAATGAAAACGGAATTGCGTTCATCTTGAACTGCCTGAATTCGAATCTGCTTTCTTGGACTGCCACCCTCATCCAGCTCTGCCGTCAAGCCTCTACGAGCGGCTTCGTCAGCACTCAAAGCTGGTGTGGCTGGCTGTGGGTCTGTATCCATTGGTGTTGAAACCCCGCCTGAGCCTGATGCCGGATTGGCTGGCACAGGTGGGCCTGGTCCCCGTGGTGAAGCGGGACCTGCCACTGCTGCACTTGGCGGAGGAGGCATCATCCCCGCCTGCAAGTCATTCCCACTACGCGCGGGTAAGCCTGGCGTGGTTGGAGCATCATCTGCAACAACCGGAGTGTCCGGTGGGTCCTCAGCTGCCTCGTCCGGGGTAGCTGGGGCCTGCTGTTGCAAAGCAAAAGGAAAATCAATGGGGAGCTCGACTGGCACTGCCTGTGGTGGCAAAATCCTCTTTGCCAAAATCAGCTTGGATCCTAGGGCTGCATATCCGAAGTCCCAAGGCATCGACTCAACATTGCTCACAAAATCCAAACTCCAAGGTCGGGGCATTCTCCGAACCGAACGAGTGGTAAAAATGCCACATCCATCTCCTGAGGGGACTGCAATCACATGCACATCTCCCTGCATTGTCTTGCCAAGCCATACTCCTTGGCGCCATTGAGGGCCTGCCTTGGCCGCTGTCTTCAGGAAACCGTAGACCATCTCTGCATAGGTGGCAATCTTGCCTGAATACTGTCTGTCAGTGCACGCCTCATAGGCGGTCAAACCATTCACAACTCGGTATCTGTTGTAGCACCATGCCGCATGCGGTAGAGACCACGCGTAAATGGGGTGGTCACAACCGAAAATGATCTTTCCAGGTGGAGCGCCTCCTTGCCTCTCGAGAAAACTGACAAAAACTCCTGCTTGTTGTCTGACTCCATGCACTGCTTGTTCAACAGCACCGTTTCCTTCATGGTTCCCAATCGCAACTGGTTCTGGCACGGTTGCAACTCCATGCAAACGACATGCCTTGCGAACTGCCTCCATCAAGGAAAGCGTTGCTGGTTCTTGATCGCACTTGATGGCGACCTTCGGATGGCCTGTCCACAAAATAAAACGAGTCAGCTCAGTGCAAAGATAAGAGGCGTACCTACCTCCCTTGGCAGGGGTTGGAATTGCATGCACCAATCCTGTGGCGCGGTCATGCGCAAAAAGCACTGTGATCTTATCAGAAGTGTCAGGGCGCCTGCTGCAATATCCAAAATCAAATGAAATTACACTGTGTGATGCGCGCTCATGATCCTGGTGGTGGTGAGCATCTTGGCGTCCCTTGTGCAGAACGCAATGCTCACACCATGCACGGTATGGAAAATGAGTGGTGTTATGTTCATCAATTTCTCGCTGAGTGGGTTGGCCTGGTGCTGCTTGCACGACTGGCCTTCTTTCCAGCTCATCTGCAATTTGATGTCTGGCTGCATGAGCAGCAAGCAAATCATGCTGCCTCAAATGCTTCACAAGTCTCTCAAAGAGCTGTTTCCTATTGCCCCAAACGGGCAATCCCAAATTGGTACACGCATCACGCAAAAGTCGCGGTTCAGAGTGGTTGTCCAATCGCACACCTGCAACTTCAATCTCGTTCTGAGCAAGTGGAACAACCTGGTCCTGCTCATCTGCATCAGGCTGTGCAATTGGAACGGCATGTGCTTCTGCCTGCTGTTCAGCAGGTTGGTTCTGAAATGCATTTGCTTTTGATTCATCGCTCGTATCAACAAAAAGTCGCTGCAAAGATTCGTCAGTGAAAGGTCGAACATGTCCAAGAGTGATAACTTGCTCAACTGCCTGGGGCAAATTGAAAGGGGCTGTCATCTGGTCCAGAAGGGTTGTGTCCTGGTTGAACTCAATCAAATCCCAAACACCTGAACTGCAAACCAAAGTAGTCCGATACCATGCCAAGAGATCAAATGGTGCAAGAGTTGTGTCAACAAAGGCCGGGTCATGACTGAGTAAGGCATAGACATCGCCTCCAAGGTCGGTCCATCCTGGCTTCAAAAGCTTCAAAGGTTCCTGAAGTGTAATCACACGGATCTCCTGCTGAGTGGAAACCATCCTGATCACACCATCTGCACACAGGGAATTGTTTCTGTACCTCAAAGGTATGCGGTTGCTACCCTTAACCAAGCACAAAGAGCCTGATTCATTCTTGATGGACCATCCATCTTGCAAGATTCTTCCCAAGCAAATCAGAGGTGAAGTGATTGGGGCCACTGCAAACCGTTCTCTCAAAACAACGTCGCCAAACCTGATGTCAGCAACACGAGTGTCATGCACGCCTAGCGCGTTCCCTTGTGCATCTACATACTGGGGCTGTCCTACAGCACTGGATTTGTCTGACCTGCCAATGTTTGCATACGAAAGGGGCAGAACTGAGCCGTCCGCACCAGAATCCAAAATAATCGAAATCGCCTGGCCGGGATCAGTCAAAGCACGAACATGTGTTTGAGGATCTGCTTGAGTGGTTTCACATTCATCTGCAAACATCCAATCCATGTCTGAGTCTGAGTATGTCATGTCAAATGTCGGGCAAGCACTCTTGTACACGAGCCGAGGCGAAGCAATCTCATGTGAAACTGTTGCAAAATCGCTCTCAGCTGAACTCATCATGAAAATATTGCCTGATGAGCTTGCTGACAAATTGGTCAAATCTGCAAAATACGGTTCATCATGGAATGCATGAAAATCTTCATCACGTTCTTCAGCAAAAGGCAACAAACGAATCTGGCGCTGCTGTTGCTGTTGCATGTTGTACGCAGCTGCTGATGAAGGCTGAGTCAAAGTGGATCCTGCATTGCTGGCTGCTCCTGAAGGTGGAGGTGGTGCAGTGCTTGCTGATGAGGATGCATTGCCAGGGGGCGCCTGTTCCACTTGTCGAACTTGCTGGTTCTGTTGGTCACGCTTGAATGCTCTGCAGTCACGTTTCCAGTGTCCAGGTTTGTTGCAATACAGACACACGTTCTGGTCAACTCGAGGTCGATCTTGTTGCTGTTGTTGTTGCTGATACTGATGCTTGCCTTTGCCATTGAACTTTCCAGGACCTTTTCCTTTCCCTTTGAATGGTGGTGATGGTCCTCCTTTGCCCTTTCCATGCTTGCCTTTGTTTTTGCCTTTGCCTTTTCCTTTCCCTGAGTTCCAATTGTCGTTGAAACCAACGCGGTCGATTTCCATGGGTGCAACTCCTTGATGCTGTCCATGTGACGCATGCGAACCAACTCCAAATTCAGAGTGAACCTTGTTTGGAGACCACGTCATGGTTACCTGTTCATATGCAAGCACAGAAGTCCTCACTTGGTCATATGTACTGGATTCAGTCATCTGCAACTGAACATGCTGTCGAATATGATTTGGCAAAACTCGGGTCAAGGTTGCAAGGGCAACATCATCTGGAACTTCACGTCCTGCAGCACGCCTGTATTCATTTCTCATCAAATCCAAACTCTGAATCTGTTCTCGCAAAGATCGGTCTTTACCAAAAGGTGGGAGATTCATCAAAGCCGTCAACAAAGAAACTGCCCTCGATTTGGTGTGAGGCTGAAATGCAGAGACCAATTGTCTCCAAACCTCAAGCCCATTCCTGTCAGAAACATTGCGCAAAATACGAAAAGGGCGTCCTTTGAGAATACCTGTCAATATGCTGTAAAGTTGCGCCACACGCTCCTTGTTCTCATCTGAAAACCCAGAAACATCAACCGGGGTCGCGATGTTCTCCTCCACATGTAAAAGCATAGCCTCAAATTCTGAATCTGCGTAGAAAAGCCATGCCTTGAACTGCACACTCCAGTCAGGAAATTCTGCACGCTCATCTTCTGGAGTATCTGGACCAAAAACTGCAGGTTGCTTGACCACTTTGCTTGCTTCTGAAAACCGTCCAGCTCCAGCTGTTTGAATCGAGCTAGAGGAGCCTTGGGCCGCTGATTGAATCTGCTCAATTCGCAAGGCTGCATTGGCCGTAGACTCTGCTGCACGAATCAGAGCTTGTGTAAGCTGAGCAATCTCCGGGGTCGCCATGTCTGCTCCAAGCAATATGCGCACACCCAGAAAATGTAATCAAGCAAAAGTCGCAAGCTGCAAATGAAAACTGCGGTTGCAAGTCAAATATCGTTCCAGCACTCCAAAGCCAGTGAAAGTGTAATGGCTGCCGCGGGCCGAAACAAACCTAGGGGCTCTACGTCAAACCGGGGTCCCTGAGTCACTGCTCGTTTGAGTCAGTGCTCCGCTACCATGATTATTTTTCTGCAACCAAACGCCTAGCGGATGCATTCATCACATGGTTTCATGTGGCAACTGTTTGGTGAGTTCAAACTGTACAACTCATGCAAAACACGTGGTGTGTACATGGGAGCTTAGGTGTCCATAAAACCTAATCAGATCTTCATGTGAGGCCAGGGGACACGGCCAAAGAAGAGGAGATCATGCTCCTGGCCAAGCACAAAGTTTGGAAGATGCTGAAGAATAAGCATGATTAGTTTGGCACGCTGTCTATAGCTTGGGGTTGTCTCACACGTAAAGACATCAGAGGGATCCATGCAACACATTCATCCTTGCTAGAGGGCTTCTGCAGAAGAGGTGCACCAAGTAAACCTTGTTTTTTTGTGGAAGTCTGTTATCCATGCAACACATTCATAGAGGGCTAGCCTCTGCAGAAGAGGTGCACCAAGTAAACCTTGTTTTTTGTGGAAGTGCCAGAAAGCCCCTGCAGAAGGGGAGCTGAAAAACAATTCCCCTGCAGAAGGGCGGAGAAGAGAACAAACTGCAAATCCTTGAAATTTTTTCCTGAGCAAAAATCGGCTGCGGCGGCGGAAGGAACTCAGCGGACACTCGCGAGACGGTGGCTCCACGCGCAGATCCGTGACCTCAAGACTCAAGCCGCACATGCCGCTCATCAGCCACAA